TCAAAGACTGGCACCATGCCCACTGCCACTGTGATTCATGCTCCCACTATGGATTTTCTCAAGGAGAGTGCTGCTCCTTCTCAGCAGCAGGTAAGCAGCCTGGGGACAGGCCTGGAGGCCTCCCAGGATATTGTGTTCCCTCAAGCCACAGTCACTGGGCCTCCTGATCCTTTGAGGCCAGCACAGTGTGGCGGGAAGGGAAGCACTTCTTGGGGGAAGCTGGGGAAGTTGTTCCCTTGGACAGCACTCCAAGTCTTCCCCATGCTTCCTCCAGGTGCCAGCCATTGTAAGGAACATTCACCAGCGTCTCATGTCCCAAGTCACTGTGGATGCCTGGCTGCAAATTGACATTGTGAGGCTGGCTGAAGAACACCCTGCTGACGTGGTGCTGACCCTCCTGCGCTGTGCCCCAACGTGTGACAGGTACGGGGCCCACGAGCCTTGAGAGCTCAGGGCTCAGCAGGCTCTAGGGCCCACGGCCCTGCACAGCCTGTCCAATGGGCTCTGCCAGACAGGCAGAGAGGCCCAGGAGCCTCAGGCCCCTCTGTTTCCTGAGCCTGCTGCCAGCGCTCCCCCCCTGCCCTTCAGGGCACCGGGGCTCTGGCACCTGGGCCCCCACGGGTGCACAGGGCATGGTGCTGTGACTGAGATGCCCCTGACACAGAGCTCTGATCCCACGGAGCTGCTGCAATGATGTGGAGAACCATAGGCTCGTCGAGTCCCACAGTGGAAAAGGTGCTGCCAGTGCTGCTCTGTGTGATGGAGAACTGGCCTCTGCACAGCATCTTTACCTCTGATGGGGATGGCACAGATGTCTTTGCCCTGGCTGTGAGTTTCTGGAACTGGCCTTTACTCATCCCCCGGCTGCCTCTCCAGCAGGTCTCCATCCTCTCCATCCCTCAGGCACTGGGCTGAAACCTGGGCTAGGGGCAGGCTCAGGGGGCACCAGGCCCACTGCTTCCCCTGCCTCGGCCCTTGGGCCCTGCCCCATGGACACCTCGGCAGTGAGCGCTGCCTTGGGCTGTTCTCTTGCAGGCAACTCTGGTGCTCTGGGTGATTCTCCAGGTGCCTGAGTGCCACGAGGCAATGAATCTTTATTCCCCCCGCCTGTTTGTGGCTCTGCTCTTCCATGCTGTTGCCACCACACAGGAGATCCCACCAGAGGAAGTTGCTGCATTCTGGAGAGCATGCTGGCAGGAACACCGCCTTGACAGCAGGCTCAGGAGGTCCCAGTCGCCCCATCCTTCCCGTGCCCTTGTGGCCAGTGCCAGCGCTCCCAGTGTGACCTGGGCTTTGCTCTGCACACAGGTTTGTAGTGCGGGCCATGAAGGCTCTGCTCTGCCGACTGCAGTGGGACCATGTGCTGGTGGCTATGGAGCGCAAGCGTGGCTGGGACACGATGATGCGTGCTATCACCCAGGAATATGGTTTGGGTCTGCTGGCCAGGTGAGACGCCCTTCACCCAACTGCCCCCGGCATTTGTGCCCTGTTCCCGGGTGCCCCTCAGAGTCCCTGTGGTCATGGGCCAGAGGGCCTTGTCACTGAGGGACGGCCGAGGAGACTGGAAAAGGCTGGGAGAGGAAGGTGCCCAGAAAGGGCCACCTCACAAAGCGCCCACATCCCCTCCAGGGATGCTGGGGAAAGACTGGACCTCTGTGAGTCCGCCCTGGGAGAGGTTTGCTACCCCCACCTCAGGGCCTTGGTGCCTTTTTTCCCCTGACAGGGAGATGTGGCGTGTCTCGATCCCTTTGTGTTCTCACACCGCACTCCACTTGCTCTGGCACCTCAGCAAGGAGAAGCCATGCTATGATCTGATCTTCCTGACAGTCCTGGTGGAGGTGAGCCTGTTGGCCAGCGCTGCCTCACTCAGCTGCCTCCCAGCTCTCTGCCCTCTCGTAGCCACAGCTGCCTGGGATGGTGTCCAGGCCCTGTGCTGCTGCCTGGTCCCTGCCCTGTGTGGTTCTGGGCTCCTGCCGGCCGGGTCCCCTGCCACTGCCCTGTGCCTTTCAGGTTCTCGAGTGCCTGGACTTGAGTAAATGTCGTGGCAGCGCTCTGAAGACCATGGCAAAGTACCTCTGGAGTGAATGCTGTCACAGGCATTACCTGGCGCTCCGAGGCCTCGCGGTGCTCACCAAGGATACTTGGATGGTGAGAAGGGAGCAGTGGCTGAAGCTGCGCTGGGCAAAGCAGCCCCTTGGGCTGGCAGGGCTTCAGGAGCTGAGGCAGCTGCTCCCAACTCTCCTGCCTCACCTGCCCCAGTGCTTTGGGACAGGCCTTCAGCCTGTGGGCCCTGCAGCAGCAGGGTGGGCTTGCAGTGCCAGGGAGGTGTTGGCCCTGCAGCCATCCACGGCTTCCCAGCACAGCCTTGTGTTCCGCACAGGCCAGAAGAATGTACCCTCTATCTAAAAGGCTTCTGGAGCTTCTGGGGGCTCCAGATGTAGAGGTGGTCAGCATGAGCCTCTGTGTGTTCATGAATGTGCTCCAGCACCAAGACATCCTGGTGTCCAGCACCACTGCCCCGAAGCTGACTGAGGCACTCCTGCTGCTCTTTGACCACGTAAGGTTCTGCATCCTGAGCCACAGGCATCGGCTGCTTCCCAGAAACTTTGTGCCCTGTGGATTTTCAGGCCTTTGCCCAGGTGG